CAATGTTAGCTAAATGTGCCACTTCGAATGCAGAGGAACCATCTACATCTAATGCTGATACCGCTCCATCGATAACAACAAACGATTTTGAGATCGTCCTATTTAAAAGACAATCAATGGTAAAGCAATTGCTTTGGTTGCTCAACCGATATTGCTATTGGCTAGATTCCCACCAATCACTGACGTCCACCAAATAGCCGAAATATGGGACAAACAGCAGCCGAAATATCCTGATACAAATTCACAGGGATGCAACGTTTAGAAAGCGAACATTTAAAAATTTACCTGGATTTGTTAGAAAAAAAAGTATTTTTATTTTCTTCCACATTTTGCTCACACAAAACACTGCAAAGCCAATTGCCTCACTGGTGACTTCTCACAACCGCACACGCGGGATCGATAGTGTATCTTGGCATACGAACACTCTGCTGTTTATCGTATGAACTGATTCAGTAGAGCTGGCGTACATCTAGCCAATAGGAATGAAGATCCAGCGGCAACCAACAGGCACAAATAGATGTTGCCAACTGTGTCTACGATGCCAAACAACTCTCTCTGTGCTGTAGGATGACACTTCAGTGCTGTAGTCAGATTAACGTTCGGCATCATTCAAGGCTTATAGGGAGAGAAATTCGAAACAAACATGGCTGCTACGCGACACGGCAGACGGCACAGAAAAAATTTCGCGTTTTTGAAGGCACTGCGTACAGAAAAATTATTGAAAAGGCGACAATAATATCAACGACACGTAATACTACTGACGTTACTGAGTAGAACTAATTTTCTATGGAAAATTGTCAAGCCAAATTGTACAAAAATGTTAATACCTCGATTTATTACACAGCACTACACAAATAAGCACTTCAAACTACAATGCATATTTACGAAACGGGAAAAAGTTGAATGATTTCGAGTATTCTCACGCTTAGTGGCATCTTCTAAGAGGCGCCGAAACAATTAAATTAAAGCGAGTTGAAGGGGTTGATGATGGGTTTAAGAATGATTATTACTGCTAGTTAAAACAGGCGGAGGTTGGTTAGGATCCGTTTGAAGATTCAGTCGACCCCGAATTCACATTCAAATCGTGAAGCGATAATGTACTGGTTACTTATAACATAACAGTAGCAGCATCAACTGCGCTTTGCATGTGAGTGCAA